CTTTACAAAACAAAAAGCACAGCTGTAAGCATACTGTCGATATGTATCTGTTCTTCCAAAATCAGCTGTTCCCTAAGCGTTCGTTTGTCTTCTGATGATACTGATCTCGACTACCCGCCTACCCAACTGTCGAAATCACACCACCACGGACACAGGATTGAATATCAGCCGAATATTCAGCGTTTTCGGGTGGCGAGCAGGACGGCTGAAGGAAACAGTTGTCGCTTCTACCGCATGGACAGCTGACCCTCAGGTAATGACGTTTTAATACGATTAAATTCAACCCACACCGCCTTCTTTCAGCGGTTTTCTAAGACTAACGAGTTCACTTGGTCTTTTTGGCGGCTACAAAACACATATCTCGTGACTTACTCGATTTTTCCATTATTCATGTAGACAGAGCTCTTGGAATAATTCTCATTTGGAATTCATTTTATCTTGGAAAACTTAGTCTCTGATCCGACGGTGTGATAATTTTCCTGCAACCTCTGGATCGTCTGTTGGCTTTTCATCACTTCTTATGCGAAGACGACGCAATGGTTCGTAGATAATAAGAACCATTAGCTGCTCTCTACCAATATTCATATATCGTTGCAAAAGTTTCAACTAGTTATCTGAAGAGTGACCCAAAGGCAGCGGCGAAGAACACTGCTACGACATTATTTCCTTTGCGCATTCTTCAAAGGGCACCAGTGCGACGGGGTGGTCAGCTGAACAACTTTTCATTAGCATGAATAGGTGCATCTACCTTCTTCACACATAGATGACGAACGAATGACCATCAAATACGGCGAGGTTCAAACAGTGGAGCATATCACAGATCACTGCCGTATTTATGCCGTCCAGCTGACGATCGCTAGAGAATTAAGTTAGGATATTGATCTGTTCACAGAAGCATATTCCTCCTCCATACGCGGACGATGCATGAATCATCCTCCAAATGTGGCGAGGTTCAAGCAGTGGAACATATCACCGACCACTGCCACTTTATGTCCAGTTGGCGATCGCTCGAGAATTAAGTTAACATGTCGATATATGAAGCGTTTCGTGCTGCTCGGTCTCACAGAGAGCAGCGCCAAAGGTTCCAACTTGGACCACTTAAAGTCATTTACGAATTACGCGTTGATCCGCTTCCAATTTGTGATCTAAGGGAAAACGTGCCAGTCGGTGACAATGATAGCCACGCTGTCAGTTGGCGCGCATTTTGCGTTAAACTTCGTAAAGAAAGGCAAATACTTACCAGCTTGCCTTGCCAGTTCCTCGTTTGCTCAAGACGGAAATATATACAGCTGAAGCGAATGAAATTACATATCACTGTTTTCTTGAAGTATCAGCTTCATGTAAACTAACTATACAAACAGACACATCTCTGGTCGCCCAACTATCTGCCAGTGTTACAACGGAAATCAATCTGTTTGTTTGAACAGCGCGTTTTGCCATTGTCAGATTGATGGTAGCCTGAATGATCGAATTACCACCTGGCATCGACTTTCACTTCGTCATGATATTATTCATCAGTGACCTCTATCCGCTGGCGAAGTTACCATAAACATGCACGTTGTTAGAGCGGTGCTCTTCTGCACCGACGAATCTCAAGTGTCCAAAATCCTTTAAGCATTTATTGGCCTGCCCAAGTGAGTCATTTCCTAGTCGGCAGAAAGGAAGGAGGCAATGAGACCCCTGAGCATTGTAATTCGTTGTAAG